AAATGTAAATCCCACAAAATGCTGTTCGATTAATGTGCGAAGCGTATGGATAGGATGACCAACTTGAAGATGTAACTTGCGCGTTGTTTTCGATAAAATGTTTTCCGTAACATTTGTATATTCGTCAATTGGGTATGTATTATTATTAATGTTCACTGTTACAGGAGTTATACGAGGAACTAGAGAGAAGGTAGGGGGCTTGAGGAACGGCGTGAGTGACCAGGGAGAAACGTTTGATGGAGAAGTTGATTAAGAAAAAGGAAGGTACCTTGAGTAGTTTGCGCGTTGAAAGTGATTGAATTATTGGATGCAGTCAAGTAGCGATTCTGAACGTTGAAAGTACGGGAGCAAAGTCTCGAACTAGTTGGATGGGTATCGCACATTCTGAGTATGTTAATGCGAATAGAACTGTTTCTAAAAAGCATATCGATCGATCGTTTTAGAATTGAGAGATATTAGTATGGATGTAACCTTTTTTTCTGGCACTTTTATAGTCGTACGTACGACAGTAGCGTTAGATGTCACAGTCACATGATGATTATGGAGCATTGTGCAACAAAGTAAAGACATATTTACAGTATCGATGAAGCCTATTTATATTTATCCATTTACTCTGAAACTATAATTTTTTTTCTTGAATAATCCATTGTAGTTTTAAAGCATTAATCCGAATAATGAAAAGGTTGATTGTAATACTCGTTCCGCGATTGACCAAGTGGCATTACAATAATTACACAGTGCCGCTCTTTATAGTAGACCTCCTTTATAGTGGAGACTAATTAAAATCGCGATATAGTGGATAGAGGTTCAAAACCGTCTATAATAAATTCTATCCGATATAGTGTATTTACTAATTAATTTTCAAAAACCCTCGATATAGTGGATTTTTGAGAATTTTTTGCTAATAGATTTTTTTGATACACTATAAAGAGAGTCACTGTGTAATTATTACTTTTCTCAACGCGTTAAACAACATTCTTGAGTACTAATCTCCTAGTATCAATTCTTGATAGTAGCATTTACATATGTCTGTACGTATATTCAGCAGGTACCATAAAACTAACTCTTGAAATATCAAACAAATCGCGTTATCTAAACATGGAGAATGCCTTTCAACCGAGTATAATACCATTAATGTGGCGTCGTAAAGAAAATCATTTATGGCGCCATCTGTTGGCAAGCAAATTGCACTCAAACGAAATGAACCGAACTTTCAACCACATATAAAAATTCTGATACGCCAATGACATGGAAATGTCATCAAGGTCATATTTGGAATAGCCCATTTCATAAAATTAAATATTCCTCTGCATGGTGTCCATTTTGTGCAAGTATATAAAGTTAACCCTTGGGGACGCAAAGCAAATCGCATTATCCAGGCATGGTGAATGTTTTCAACTGAGTATAAAAATATTAATGATCCACTCATTTGAAATGTCAATTAACCATGACAATCCAAATTAATTTTGATGAGGCATGTGCCCTGCAAAATATTCAACGGATTCCCGGTTCCATCATGAGTGCCAAATGGGGCAGACTGCGACAAAACCAGACAAAGCGAACATTCTATTATGTGACATAATAAGAGGCTGATGTGGCTGAAAGTTAACTAATTTGGCTAATAACATTTTTGGCTGTGCAAATTTATAAATTGATTTTGAATTGCATTTTTTAATTAATTGTTATACTAAATGTAACTGACACTCAAGAAAAATTCATTTCAAAAAAAGGATGATATGATAGTAAAGACATTCCCAATGTTTAAGATTTAAATATTACAAATGGTCC